CAGAAAATAGAGACAAACAATTCAGTAATTATCCGCAATTAGCCTCAAATCAAAACTCAAGCTGATGCAACTGATAAAACAAGTGTTATGAAAGTGACAAACGATTTTTTTGAATATAGCTTCTTTTAGGTAATTGTACATGATGTATCCTTCTGTATGTAGAACGAAGACTTTTTTTATTTTCAGTAGAATGCTATTTGCCCTGTTTCAGGATGTTTTTATTCTGAACATTCAACACATAATAAAAATAGTGTGATTAAAGAGATTTGTGACTGAATTTCCTGACAAAAAAGAATTTGGCAAATGTTTTTGAATAAATTGGGTGGTGAAATATAAATATTAATATTATTTTCTTTCTTGTGGTTTTTACTTTTAACTTAGTCGCAAAGGCTTAAGAAACTCGGTACGTTAATTCATAAAGAACAGAAATCATAATAAAACTGATTTTCTGTGGATGAAATCAGTTTACCTGTTTGTAAAGGATTAAAGAATAAACTGAAAAATGTTAAATAATACAAATTTTCTCTGTGCAATTCAAATTTACTAAATAAAACACTAGAATAAAAGAAAAAATAGAAAATAATTTTTGTGTGTTAATGTCCTTTCCTTTTTTAGTATTTATTTGCTTCATCAATTTAAAACTATAGAACACTTTCATGAGATATAATGTTGTTTTTTCTTCTTTGTGTTGGATAACCCAGCTTTCTAAAGTGTAAACTATCTTAGTCTTCACATTGTATATTTTTTAAATATTTTTTCAATAAAAGTTGAGTTCTTTTAGATTCATGTAAGGTAAGAAAAATGTTTAATTCACTCATATTTTTTTTATTGCAGTGGCAGCTTACTTGTAAGAAATCTGGGGGACTTGGTTAAAAAACAACATTTTGTTAATGGATCAGAATACCTGACTACACTCCTGGTTGTGGTACCTCAGTAAGCCTAGAACTCGTTATTTATTGCTTTAACAATTTTACTTGTGAATTGGAAAGCTTCAGTTATGTTTGGCACCACTGTTTTCCAATGTGAATGTTTTATGGCTTTTCAAATTAATTTTATTGAAATGAGGTTCAGCTTGTATATATAGTTGCTAAAAAATTAATATAAAATTCAAAGGTAAAATTGATATCTCAGATATGTAATATTAATTGGTTTACTCACAAATCTTGTGGAATTTAATTAATAAAAGTAATATACAATTTAAACAATAATTTTTCTTGTTCTTTATGTTTATTGAAGAAATTTGTACAAAGACTGGAACTTGAAATACGAAAAACTCACAGATATGGTGGTACCCAGATCTAGTGAGTAAGTATATGTCCTTTTGTCTTTCTACCGTGATTCAGAGGAAGCATGTTACATGCGTTTTGTTAGGCACAGCGATCTTAGAAATCAATAATCTGTTGTTATTTTCTAAAATTATGTTTTAGTGCTACAAAAGTCAATGTCAGCTTAATAAATTGAGACCTAATCATTGCAGAGTCTGTGTAAGTTAGTTACTTCATGATGTTAAGCCTAACTTTCACAAATTCCATGCGAGTTAATGTTGTCATAATGTTAGGTTTAACAGACACAGATCCTGTGTGAATTAGAAATGTCATTATAGCATTAATTCTGTCATAGATTTCATCTGACTTAGTAAAATAATAATGTTATGTTTAACATGTGAGATAACATTGTTGCAAATTCCATGCGAGCTAAGGTTGTCATAATGTAAAACCTACACAAAGTTCATGTGAGTTAGTATTGTAGTTAACAGTAGTCTTTGTACTCCTGAAAATTAAAATGACTGGTTTTTAATTTGTGATCCTGATGAACTCCTAAAATTTTAGTTTCAGTAAAAATATCCTTCATTAAATAATTGGTTTAACTGAAAAAAATTGAAAGTTTGCTTATCAGAATTGAGTTTGTTTGTGTCATCCTCTGTGAATTTTGTGCCTCATAAGACCTGAGACAGTTACATTTTCTGCATGCATATTTGATAAAGGAAAATGCAACTTTTAATTTTGTGTAGCAGGATTTGAGGTGCTGGAAATTTGAATATGGGAGCTGTAATTCTCTTAAGTAAAGTCTAACCACCACAAATTCCGTGATTTAACATAGTTATAGCATTAAGCCTAACCACTTGAAATTTCATGTGAATTAATACTAACATATAATTGCTGTTTTATTTATATTGCATTAATCTGGCACTAGGTTAATATATGAAGATCAAGACTATGGACTCTTTACAGTCAGTAAAGTCTAACCACCACAAATTCCGTGATTTAACATAGTTATAGCATTAAGCCTAACCACTTGAAATTTCATGTGAATTAATACTAACATATAATTGCTGTTTTATTTACATTGCATTAATCTGGCACTAGGTTAATATATGAAGATCAAGACCATGGACTCTTTACAGTCACTCTTTTTCAAAAGGTAGTGGATGAGTTTAAACTTCATGCCAGAGAGAACAAGTAAGTTGGACTCGAATCAACTTAATGCTAAGAAACATTGAATCTTGGATAATATCTCGAGTATTATAATTGTTTTTACTCTATTCAGTTTTTTTTTCAAATATATTATTTTGTGCAAATTTTGATGTTCAATCATGTTGATCGATCAAAATGTTTTATTCTGTAACAAAATTTTAATCATTTCAATAATAGTAAATAATCTCAGACTTTCAGATTCAGTCTTGTTTTTTGACTTAAAATAACTTAGGGTACAGTTTGTTCAAATACTGTGAATGTGTACAGAATTCAACAATTTCCCAATAAAAAAAGCAGCAAAACATGTAGTTCGTAGATAAGAAAGTTTTGTCTCTATCAGTTATTTTATTTGTCAAAGCTTTAACTCAGCAACTTAGAAGTTAAAACAAACTTTGTTTTTGTGAAACATTTAATCTAAAGTCAGAAAGTCAAATGTTTAAGTTTTTTAGTGTTTTTTTTTATTTTTCTTGAATTAATTTTTCATATACAAAATATTTTTTATTCTCTTGCAGATTCATTGTTAGGGAATTTGTGTATAATGAAGAGGAGTTATTAGCAGGAAAGAATGAAATTGCCAAGTTAGAACATGACAAAAAGAAACAGTTTGTACGTAAAAGTTTAAATTTTCTACTAGGCTATTGTCAGAATTTTATTGCTCAACAGTTTGTAAGAGTACTTTAGTTCTTTCTGGTCTAAACCTGGAAATTCTAAATAATAAATACACATTTTATTTTCTTTATGAATCATATTTAACATTAAAATTCTTATTTAAAAAAAAATAAAAGAACTGTCTTCTATAGAGTCTACTAGTCCGATGGTTGAAAGTGAACTTTAGTGAAGCTTTCACAGCATGGATCCACGTCAAGGCATTACGGGTGTTTGTAGAGTCTGTCTTAAGGTAGGTAGCAAGTTCGTATAGAACATTAAAAAGAAGATATTCCTATACCTTATTATAACTTATGGAATGGACAATTAGCTATTACTCTTAATCTAAGTCATCAATACCTTTAGGTATGAATAAGAACCCTATAACCCGAGCACTTTTGAAAAAGGTCCACCTTTCTATCAAGACTTCTTGAACCTACGTGTTTTTATAACATCATGAAAATACCTTTAGGTAAGTGTTGATGAAACTTACAAACTCTTGTTCTCAAACTTCTTCGATAATTATATGACTTCCCTCTACCAATAGAAATATACAAACAACTGAACATGTTTGGAAAAGTAGGGGGCATCTTGACCCAGTGGGAGTACTTTTGATTTTGGATCTAGTGATTGGGTTAGAATCTGTGCGATACCACAAAATATTCCTTGCACTTTAAGCTGTGGGTACTTTATAAGATTGACTGTCAGTCCCTTAGCATGGGTGATTGGATGCTCCTTACTTGCCTCATTCCCTCTGGTTAGTAGTTTAAAACTGGGAATGGTGGCAGATAAAAATAGTAGCCTTGGCATAAGAACATTTTTAGAAGGAACTTTTATTTTCTTCCATGAAAAACCATAATTTATTATTTCAACAATGTTTCTGGCTTGTGATACTTTTTATAACGTAACAGTGTTTTTCTTCCATTCTTGGTGAGTTTCATGTTTATTTTTTCTTTGACTGCATCATAGTGTTTTAAAAAAGTCTTTAAATGTTAAGTAAGTGGTCTTTACTTTTTTGCTTAGTTAATATTAGTCTCAAGGAATGCTTAATTACTGTAACTGAATTGTTTGTCTCACTTTCACAGCACTTGCTTTATCAGTTGCATCAGCTTAAATTCTAATTTTAGGTTAATTATGGATAATTACTGAATTGTTTGTCTCATTTTCTGACACTTGTTTTATCAATTGCACCAGCTTGAGTTTTGATTTGAGGCTAATTGTGGATAATTACTAAATCGTTTGTCACTTTCATAACACTTGTTTTATCAATTGCACCAGCTTGAGTTTTGATTTGAGGCTAATTGTGGATAATTACTCGAAGGTTGAAATTTCACTGTGCAACTTATAATTTTTATCTGTTTAAAACATGAAAATGGTAAGATTTGACATAAGCAATAGTGCTAAACACCTACGTGGATTTTCTTTCCAAGGATTTTAGGTTACCCTTTAGGTTATTGTAGGCTGAAGATTTAGCTTTCAAGTCTGCATCGATCTGAGACACTTGCTAAAAATAATCAAATGGTTCATAATTACTATTACAGTTATTGCAAAAGTAATACAAAAATATTATCTACTTTGTCTCAGATTAAAATATTCGGACTTTTACAAATGCAGTGAAAAATTCTCTGACATTTGAGTAGGGTAAAACTTCATTAGCTTGTTACACATGATTAATCATTATTAAACTGTAATCCTTCGCAATATCCATACATTAACCATGCATGTATACCTTGTTTAATTCTTGCATGTTTAAGTTGTATAATATCTTTAATTCATAGGAAGCATGTTTATTCTGTACTAGTTGTAAGTGACCAGCAAATAGAACCCTAATCTCCGAGGACTATTTCTCTCTACATATATCACCTATATTACCAAGAATTCTGATACATACATTGTTTCTACTGAAGCTGACAATCATCTACACACATGGATACATATATTGTTTCCACTGAAGCTGACAATCATCTACACACATGGATACATACATTGTTTCC